ATAATATTTCCTTATTATGTTTTCTGTTTTTTCCTTCTGGGTTGTTTGTTTATTTTCTTTGTTGTTTTTCATTTTTCTCTTGTTCGCAATTTTTTCTGCCTTGTTTTCCTTTTTGCTGTAGTCTCTTAAATGAATGTTTTCATTTTTGTTGTTGCTGTTTTCATTGTTCTTTTCTTATGTGGATTTTTTGTTTTTATATTTTTGTACGTTCGTTAAAAAAAAGAAGAGAGTTTTTTAATCTTATTGATAATGAGTATTTTTTCAAACGTTCACGTGAGCGTCAACGTCAATGTGTAAAAAACTAAATGAAGTAAATGAGTGCAATGTAGTCATTATCACCCAACGTACGTATATCTGTGCATGTGGCTATGCGAGCGCGTTTTTATGTGAGTGTGGTTGTTGTTAGTGTCGCTGTTTGCATGTTGGAAGGAATGAGAAAAAATGGTTTCATTTAATTTTATACAATAGTATCAAAACGGCGGTGAACGATAAAACGTCGTAGCGCGCTCGTACGTTTGGTTCATACGTTCGTTTATACGTACATTAGTTACGTTTTTCTTTTGCGTTCATTATATTATTATTATAATTCTCATTACATTGTTTGCATGTATGTATATGTACGAGTAGCAAACGTTGTTGTTATTATTATTGTCATAAGTATGTGTCTGCCTACAATAGCGAGCGTAATTGTTGGTCGTCGTCGTGCCACAATCTTGATTGTTTTGTTTAACCGAAAAAACGTACGCAATTTTTAATTGGCGCGGAAAAGCCTAACGAATATTTATTTCTTAAAATACATTAATACTTTATTTTTCTTTGTAATTGTGTTTAAAATTAAAAAATAAAAAATAATTTTTTTATGAAATGAATTTGTTAAAAGAGAAAAATAATTAATACAAAAAGTGTTTAAAATTAAAATAATTAAAGTGAAAATTGCAAAGGAAATTAAAGAAATTTAACGAGGATATAAATAACAACTGGATTGATGAAAACACAGGATTACTAAAGGATATTTTGGATATTTACAAAAAAATATTAACATATATATAAAAACTAAAAATAAACATTAATAACAAAAATACCTACAGTGTTAAAAAAATATATTAAAAATAAACAATTAAATTTCAAATGACCATTAAAAATTCTGATTTGGATATTAAAAACAAAGACTGCCTCATGTTTATGGAAATTTTTCATTTAAAGCTCTTATTTGAATACAATGTTTTGAGATCTTAGCTAAAAACCTTAAGTTTTAATGGATGGAATGAATGACATAATATATTATAGTACTTTTAGGAAGGGTATTAATTTTGCAAATTGTGTATGTAGATATATTTTGATTTTCCCAAAAAAAAACTTTAATGTGTTTGTAGATGCGGCTGAAAGGGTCATTTTTTATTCATAAATGTTTAATTTAACACTTAACCAAAAAGTCTAAATTTTACATTTATAAAATTTAAAAAATCGCTTTAATCAATATTTTTACAAATAAAGGAAAATAAAATTTAACAGGAAAATGGAAATACCTAGTTACCTTAAAATTAGTTTAGTTTGTTACCAGTTTCTTTATTCCATAAAAGAGCGCGAAGTTATTGTACAAATTTATAGTCAGTTACTTAAGCTAGAGATTAAAATGATACAAGTTTTAACATTTTCCTACAATTTAGTTTAGTGTTAATTAGTTACTATTATTTAAACTTTTTAAAATTAATTCCCGGTTCTAGTTGGTCTTAAAGTTAAGGTTTAGAAGCATCCAATTAATATAAGTGTTTTAAAACTATTTTATATTATCCACCAGCCTGGCACTAGTTTGAATCTTTCCAAGAAAATCTTAAAACTAAAATTTTGTATTATTATGATACATTTCCGACGGCCGGTTTTGAAATTGTAACAGAAAATTATTCGTACGAAATTTAATATCAAATTACTTCTTCAAACATGTTCGGTGCTGACTGCATAGCACAGCAAACAAACGTGCATAGAATCCATAGATGAGGAAAACTTTACGAATCATATAGTTTTTTTATAAGAAAAACTGTGATATATATTTTAGTTTTGTTCTACAGCTTCTCAATTGAAACTCATAAATTAGTTTCGTTAAAAAATTATACAGTGCGTGCTCGATTTGAGCAACTACCTATTATTGCAACTGACCGATTTGCGCAACAGCCTTTTTTTAGCATTAGAATCTTTATAAAAGCAACTTTTTTCTAAAAATGGTTGCTAAAAGTGCAACTTTAAATTTTTTATGGCATTATTAGGAAGTTAGTTTTTGATTTATTTAATTTCCATTAATTTTGTTTTTCAGTCAGTGTAATTTTAAATGATTTGATTTGTGACAGAATTGTATATTCCGGCCTAAGTTATAAAATTATTTTAATAAGTAATACATACATATATTACTTTACAGTTATTTTTATTAATTAATAAATGTTAACAAATTATATGAAATTGTATAGGATTTTAGTGGTCGGTCATTGCAACAATGCGCAAATTGCAACAACCTTGATTTCTTTCGGTTGCGTAAATCGAGCTCGTACTTTCGGTTTTACTGATCGAAGGTAGTACCTATAATTTAATGATCACTACAAAAAATGGAACGTATAATAGTTTTTGTATATAAGAAAGTTATTTAGTAAAGTTTTCTGTATAATTTTTTTTTTTTTTTTAATAGAAGCATTTTAATTTATATTTTTAGTTTAGTTCTTTTTTATAGAAAATATTATTTTTATACAGAACAGGGTTTTCTATAGAATTTTTATGATAGTTTTTCAAATATTATTTATAACAGGTCTTTTCTATATAAATTAGATTTATTAACATAACAATTAGTGATAAAACTATTGATGATCGTTCATTTTGATCAAACCCTCTTAAAGTTAATTCTTATGAACATATTTGAGTTTATATTTTCATAATAAGTAATTTTATTTCTTAAATTCTTTGGATTTGATTTTAAAAGCAAGTGTGAAAAAACACAGAACCAGCATTACTACAACGTATGATGATTTTGTGTTTGCTGGGTGTAGTTGTATAAATAATGCATAATGCATACAACAACAAATCTTAGTTATCAATAAGAAATAACAGCAACAATAACAAGTAAAAAAACACACTCCCTTTAAATGAGTGGAATGTATTAATGTGTTTGATATTTAATGAGCATTTTTTTCTTGTTTAGAATCTGTAGTGTTTTGAGCGTAGTAGTAAGAGAGAGAGTATTGTTTTTGTCAGTCAAGTAAAAAGGAAATGAGTCAAAATAATTAATATAGTTTGCTCTTCGGAAACTGGTGTGAGTAACAGGGTTTGTTTGTTTTGGGTACAATTTTTGTTAACTTTCAACGGTACCAAGGGTGATAACAAATAGTACCACCAGGGCTAACTAACTACTAAGCTTTAATGTTTTTATTTCGTTTAATTTTGTTTTAAATCTATATTAATTTACGAAATATTTTTTGAATTAAATTCTTTAGCACATTAAAAACAAGAGGCACAACATATTTTAGATTGGGATTCCTTGAACAAATAAAAACAAGTATCATATTTTATTTCATCAGTGTTGCCAGATGCTGAAAGTACAAAAATTGCATAGAAATGCACTTTTCTTTGCATTGAAAGTACTGACGTACATTCATTTACCGAAAAAAATAATTTATATGAATTATAATTTTTTAGGTTTTTTCTTGAAGCTGTATTTTACAGCAATTAGTTATGCTAGAGTATGTGATGTACCCTGCTTAATATTTTAAATCGTTCTAAATCTCTTAAAACAATTCTTTTTAATATTGATAAAATATATAAAAACATATATGAATCCAGTAATAAATATAAATAATATATATTTTAAAGCGAAATGTAACACAAAATTGTACCAACTTTGTTTACACTGTGCAGTTCACCAGTAAAAAAATAATGTAACAAACGAAAATTAACAGAGTAGCAAAGTAAATAATACTCTTTTTGTCTTGACACTCTCTCTAATCTTTTGCTACTCTCAATAATAAAAACAATACAACACATGTGTTTTTTAAGAGTGTGTGAGAGTGTATTTTTTTAATTTTTAAACAGCTTATGAGGCTGCAGCTGCTACTACTGCTGCTGCTTTTTCTTGATCTGTTGCTGCGAATGTTTATAATTCACTCATTTAGCTGTTGTTCCAAAAAGAGTTGAATTATTCTATTGTGTGTGTGTGTGTGTGTGTGTGTGAAAATAACAACAAAAACAAATCATATGTATAAAAAGGTGTTTGCAGTCGCGATTTTTTTTTCTCATTAGTTGTTTTTTCTTCTTAATTTTTTGTCGCTGATTCTGTGTGTGTTTTTTTGTATGATAGGCGTGTAGGATGTGTGAGTGTGTGTGTTTTTTATGTATGGATACAATTTTGTAATACTGTCATTAGCGTAAACCGCGCAATGCGTGTACTCGTTTCATTATTTATTCTTAAAAAAAATATAAATATATATATTTGTATACATTATATGTGGACGAACAACAAAATAATAAAAAGCAACAACAATCTAACTAAAAAAATAGGTAGCTGAAATTAAATCTGATACTTAACATTAAAATAAGTATTTTTTACGGTTTGTCTTGTTACTGATGATAAAAAAGAAAACAAAAATAAGTTTAAAAATCTTTACGAAGAAGAGTGTAATGTAATATAAAATAGTTGTGTCAGTGCTTTATAAATAACCTAATAATTTTTGGTGAAAACAGTTTAAATGGTGTTAAATAATCTTTTTTTATTATTAATAAAATTAACCTGTTTTTCTCTTCACAGTTGAAACAAATCTATTATATAAAAAATTAGTAACAAAATATTTAATATATATTATTTAATATACATTATATTAAAAAGAAATCACTTGAAATAAACAAAAACATAAAATCTCTAAAGTTCCTATAAATTTAAAAATTAATACTAGTAATTAAATAACAACAAAATTAATATATTAAATAAAATGTTAAATAAAAACACAACAAAAAAATTAATAATTTAAACAGTTTAAAACATACATAAATCTAGATAAATAAATATTTATAGTTTATAAAATCAAAATTGGCTTAACATCAACAAATATAAAAAAATCACCAAAACAAAGAAAACACCACCAACAACATGTTGTTTGTCGTAAGCTGAAAACATCAGGAAAAAAAAAATAAATTTTTAAAATCAAAAAAAAAATTTGCTACTGTAAACGAAATATGCTCAAAACTATGAAAAAGCTTTAACCAAAAGGTAAGTGTGGTAAAACAGTATTTAAATTAAATAAAACTGGTTACAATTCGTAATTAAATGTTTATATTGGCACGAATTGTACCTTAAAAATATATTGATTAAATATATTAAGAATAAAATATATGTTATACATATATACATATGTACATTGTACATATTACATAAATCGCTCATTTACTACAAGACTGGCATAATCCAAAAAAGAACGTTTCGAGAAAAACTGCTTTGAGAGTTTTATGGCATTTTACAATTTCTTAAATAACTTTTAAAGGAATCATTGCACTTGAAAAATTAAACCAGATTTAGATAGAAAATAGTAATATGTTTTTCAACTAAATTTAAATTAAATTATCAAATATCAAATATTTATGATATATAATAACATAAAACTAAATTATAAACTTTAGAACGGCTCAAATATTTTACTATATTAATTCAAAAAAAAAAAAAAAACGAATTTTGAACTTAATTAAACAGTTAATTCAAGCCAGACTTGTACTAAACGAGCGATGTTCACACATATGAATATATTAAGCCGATTTATAAACGATTTTACCTTTTACTACAACATCCCGCATAATGATAACAAAACTGGTGTAACTCAACACCACGAACACGAGAAAAACATCGTAACAAATTGTAAACTTTAAAAACTATAAACTCACTTTTTTGACTTACCCCCATTATCTCAATGTCTGGTTATATTTTATCGTAAGGTTAAATGTTTTAGTTTTTTAGTTTAATGCCATTGACTTATAAGTGTTTTGTATTCCGAAAAAAATTATCGGTTTCCTTTTTCTGAAGAAGAAAAAACTAAAATAATTCCACTTTCGATCGAAATGGAATTCTGTAACAGTTCTGTATATATCAGATTATATGCATGTTAGTCATTCTGTACTACATAAAAGTAATGCAGATTGCATGTAATGTAATAGTCATTGAAAAATATGTTGTTGGGATATTGTATAATAGAAGTAAAGTTTCATTATTAGGTATTCTTATATCATAATAAAATAAATTTACTAAATAAAAAATTTCGTAAATGGTGTAACATGCAGCATTTGGCAAAATTTTGTAATTGAAAATAAAAGAGGGATTTGCGCTAAATTTTGTATTAATAGCATTATTTAGTATGGAGTTATGTGGGTTTAAGTGTTTTCCTTGCATGGGAGCTATGTCTAAATATGGACCCATCATGAAAAAATTCTAAAATAACATTTCCGTATACAAAAGGAATATGTGTGCTAAATTTTGAATGGATATCATTATTTGATAGTTTAAATGATTTTCTGAAGGGGACCTTGTATGCCTAATTATGAACCGATCCAGGAATGTTTGTCTTTCTATGAATGCTATTGACATAAAATTTTAATTTGTAAAATTTTGTGAAGATATCAGCATTCTGACGGAAGTTCTTAACAATAAACTCATTTTGCGGGAATAAGTACTTTTGTATGGGAGGTATATGAAATTGTAGACCGATTCCGCCAATTTTCAACAGCAATAAAGCTCTATGTGTGATGATTTTCATGGAGTTATATTGCGCAGTTTTTCTGAAAATTACATTAGAATATGTAAAAAAAGCTTAATTTTTTCGGATTTTTTTCAGATTTTGATTCATAACTTTTCCCGATGTGAACCAATTTTGCTCATTTTCAAAACCAAACTGCCTAGCACAATATTAAATATTTTGGGTGAATTTCGTTAATTTTTGTTGCTTAATGTTAACGTGAGAATGTTTTATACAGACAGACTTTGTTGGGTCTCAGATGAATATTTCTGTAACACCCAGAAATATGACAATGTTATATACAGTGTCTCACATAAGTATTCGAATTTGGTTGTACTTTGAAAAGAAACATAATGAATAATTAAATTTGTTATATTGTCTAGAGAGTCCTAAGGTATAATATCACACTCTTTAAAATTTGGAAAAATTACATTTACCTCAATTGATTTAAATTTTTTTAAAAAAAGTCCATAAAATTGCCTCACAAAAGTATTCGAATTTTTCCTGTATTTCATTTATGACCATATTATACGAAACGCAAAAATTATAATCGAGTGGTTTTTTGCTTAAAATTGTATTAAGGGGTTACTATCGACCGAAATTATATATTTTTGGCCCATTTGTTCCACAATTTTGGAGCATTTGTACCATCTTTTCATGTAATATCATTAAAATGGCGATTTTTGACCATATTTGCAATTTTTTTTCCTTTTTTTCAGAAATAAAACCAAACTTTAATATTGGGATTTAATAGACCCCTTGAGGTATCTAAAAATAATAATTTTTGTTATAAGGATCTGTACTTAAAAGTTCCAAGATATATTTTTGGTATAGTTCTTCTGTTTCTAATTGAATTGTATGGATCTTAAGTCCCTTTTCGTACCACTAGGGTCGATATTTTCCGACAAAGTTGGCTAGTATACATTCATGTACATATTAGCACTAATATATTTTAAATTTTCAATACATTATATCGGTATACAACTCCAAAACATTTCTTAACAAAACGTCATCCTATACAGTAGATTTGAGTTTTTACTATTCGTAACTTTCACGCTTATGTTGCCCATTACAATAAGAATGTAAGTCCAAAATTTTGGGTTTATTTTGATCATAGTAATCAATATTTAAACAGATATCGATATTTTTGAGTTAGACCATAATGATATAGTGGCATGCAGCCTGGAGGTGATTGGTATATAAAAATAATGATACTACCATATTGAATGGTGTTTCTTCGAGGCATGTTTTGGAGTACACTTCCACAATACATTGAAAACTTAAAATATATAAAAGCTGATATCTAAAAGAATATATACAAGAAAACTTTCCCCGAAAATAGTATCATGAAAATGGACTTAAGTTCCAATATATTGAATTAGCGACAGAATAATGATATCAATAATATATCTTGGATCGTTTAAATACAGATTCTTGCAACAAAAAATACTATTTTTAGATACTCCAAGGGGTCTATTAAATCCCAATATCAAACTTTGGTCTTATCTCTGGAAAAAAAGAGAAAATACTACAAATATTGCCAAAAATCGCCATTTTAATGGTATTACATAAAAAGAGGGTACAAATCCCCAAAAATTGTGGACCAAATGGGCCAAAAATATATCATTTCGGTTGATAGTAACCCCTTAAAACAATTTAAAGCATAAAAACCAGTCGATTCTAAAATTTGTGTTTCGTATAATATGCTCAAATATGAACAACAGGAAAAATTCGTATACTTTTGTGAGGCAATTTTATGGACTTTTTTAAAAAAAGCTAATTTAATTTAAGTAAATGTAAATTTTTCAAGTTTTAAAAAGCGGACTGTCTAGACAATATAACAAATTAATTTTTTTTGCACACAAAATATATTATTAAATTTGGTTTCGAAATATATACATATATACTTAATACCCTTTATTCTTTTTTAAATTTTGCAGTTTTTTCTTAAACAAAATATGCAATATGTGGTATGATTTATAAGGGATTTTAAATCCGCGTTTAAAGGTGTACACAATTTACAAAATTATGCATAAATTTTATTTATATCCATGAAAAACCTAGAATTTTAAATCTTTTTGAAATATGACAATTATGAGGATACTGTTATTTATGATTAACACATCATTGGACGCGCCTTTACAACACCTTTCAAATGATACCCCATATTGAATATATTGTTTCAAAACAAAACTAAAATTTAAAAAAAAAATAATTCAAAAATACCTTTTTTAATTTTGGTCCAGCTCACGAACGTCCATCGCTACACTTAAAATATTTTGGGAATCATCATAAAACAAAGCAAGGTAAATTTTGGGAGGTGTGAGTCAGTCTAATGTACATACATATGTAGATTTTCAATTTGTTACAAACTTTAGTTTATGATAACTCGAAGAAGAGAGACGATATAAAATAAGTTAGTTTAACCTTTATATTAAAGAACTTTAAAAAAAATTAACAAACAATTAGAATGTATTCGTGCTTTGCATAGAATTTGAATTTTCTATGCAAAGCAGTTGAGCGTTTTCCATACAAAATTACACAGTATAAAATTAAATATTTGAAAAAGTAAAATCAGTTTTTTAATATGTTACTTGAAAGATTCTTGTTGACACAGATATGTTCCGCAGAAAACAATGTAATTTGTGTCCCTTTCAGAATAAAATTAAAGTTCGTCCACTTATTTCTCACAATATTTACTTTGTCACAATCTATTACTTTGTTCTTGGAAATGAAAATTATTTCAAAATAATTTTTTTTAACAATTATTGAGAACTAAGCTTTTAGTATTTATGATATGCGACATCAGATTTTAACTGTTGTATTTAGGGATTAAGACTAAAAAACATAGAATTTTTAAAATAAAAATTTAAAAATAATGACAGAAAAAATTAATAATAATAACTATTTTCTGACTTGGACAAAAATATTTTTAATTAAAAAATAAGTTTTTTATTTAAATTTCTTCAAATTATAAAAATCTTATGTATGTACATTAGGGTGACCCCAAAATAGAACTTGCTGATGTTCCACCGAAAAATTTTTGTCCTGACGTGAATATTTGGTGAGCTGGATCAAAGAATAAACAGGTTTTTTAAGGTTTTTAAGAATTTTTTCGCATTTCTGGCAAATAAACCACATGCAAATTTAATATCATATGAAAGTTCTTTGGGAGAGGAGTTCAATGACATAACTCAGTTTTGTATACCAAAATTATTACAAATGATGTAATTTATCCGAACATTTTTAGATTTTTAAAATGTTTACATAGAATTATTTAATGTAATTAATTGAAATTATTACATTATAAACCTCATATAATTTCACCAAAATGTTTTTTTCTAAAATATATTTTGTATTTTATTTAAATATTTTAAACCCTATGTTCTCCCCGGTGTTGTGTAAGCTATATTTATCTAAAGTACATAATATATAAATCATATAGTATGTACTTATACATATATACGCACAATTTCATTAACTTTACATT